TGCTTTGCTTCTCCTCAGCTTAGCAAATGCCACCCCTGCTCTCCCAAGGTGCCCAACCGAGGAAACTTGGGAGTCTTCTTGGACATCTCTTCCTCCCTCCCCATCCGCATCTCAAACTCCATCCGGTTAATCTCCAGACCCAGTCTGTTCACTACCTAGGTATTTCTTGAATCCTTCATCTTTTCTCTTGGCCCCCTTGAGCCCGTCCTCCACAGAGTAGCCAAAGCTAGAGTCTGCAGATGCAGTTTTACCCGTTCACTCCCCCACTCTAGATCCTTCGATGGCTTTCCACTGACTTGAGGACAAAGCTCAAACTCTGTAATGGAACTTATAAAGGCCCTTGGCTATGTGGCTTCTGTCTGATTCTCCAACCTTCCACATTCCACCCCAGAACGCCATGCTCGAGCCCCACTCGACTGTGTTCTACTCACCCACATGCTCTCTCTGGCCTCCCTCTGGGCCTTTGTTCACCATATTTCTCCATCTAGAAAGCTCTGTCCTATCCAACTTCATTGCAGCCTTTGGTTCTTAGTCAAGAAAGTGCTTCCTCCGGGAAGGGAAGCCATCCATCACCTCACCACCAAATGTGGGCAAGAGGGCCCTCCTCTGCTCCACACCTCCTTCTCATGACTACATTTATGAGGCTGTGTCACCATCTTCTGTTCCTCCCATGTGGCTCCTCACTTGAGTGGAAGGCATGTGGGGGCAAGATCTCGCCTGCTCTGGTCCCCGCTGCATCTTCAGCACCTAGCTGTGCCTGGCCCGTCCACACAGACTGCAAAGAGAGCCTGGGAGAACCAAGACCCTCGTCTTCCCAGCAGCTGCTCACTTTAGCTTGACAAGTCCTTGGTTGTTTCGGGTAACTTTCTTCCACTTGCCTCCACTTGTCCTGCCTCCCTGTGGGACTCCATCGGAGATTGCAGAGATTGCTTCCTGCCCACAGCTTCTGATGAGAAAGGGCTGTGCTGGCTTTCTCTGACCAAGTCTCTCTGACCATGTGACCTCATTTCATGGCCCCCAAGCCATCCCAGCACTTCTTTACCCTTTCAAAATCACTTGCCTTCTTTTTCCCCCACCTGAAATTCACCTTTTGGCTGTGACTTCCATAAATTTTGTACATTTAATTCCCTGATGCTGCTCAATTTTTGCATCCCAGACTGAGCTAAGCCCCTGAAGTAATTTGAGTAACAGCTCAATTATCTCATCTCTCCCTTAATCTTTCCATTTCTATCAGGAAGCAGTGAAAAATGGGATGTGCAAAGTATTTTCTGCCCAACCTGCTTCTCCCTTGCAGTTGTTATCTCAGTTTGTGTCATCAGCATCTACCCAGTTGCCTGAGATCTGTACCTTGGAATCACTCTACTTTCCTCCATCCTTCTTCTTCCTCTCTATTTCCAGGAGCTCTCCATGATGATCTGTGCTCCCTTGGAGGTGTCTCAAGTCCTTCCTTCTCTGGCCACACTGCTACCCACCCAGGCCCTCATCATCTCTCTCTTTTCCTAGACTAAGGTCACCTCCTGACTAGTCGTCCTCTCTCCAGCCCCATGCCTCTGTCCACCCCCATCTATCCTGCCATACACTCACCCATCTATGAGTCTACTCATCTATTCACCCATCCACTCATTCACCTACCCATTCACTCATCTACGCATCCACCCACTTATTCATGTATTTACCCATCTACCCACCCCTTTATCCACTCATCCATCCATCCATCCATTCATCTATCCATCTATCTATCTATCCATCCATCCTGCAGTCTGCCCTCAGTGATCTAAACACACTTTGGTTAAATCATACCTCTGCTTACGTAACTTTCATGACTCCTCACTGCCTATAGCAGGCATTCTTAGCCTTGGATGCACATTAGAATCCTACAGAAAATGTTTAAAAATTACCAATACTAGGGGCGCCTGGGTGGCTCAGTCAGTTAAGCATCTAACTTTGGCTTGGGTCATAATCTCATGGTTTGTGAGTTCGAACCCTGCGTTGGGCTCTGTGCTGACAGCTCAGACCCTGGAGCCTGCTTTGGATTCTGTGTCTCCCTGTCTCTCTGCCCCTCCCCTGCTCGTGCTGTGTCTCTCTCTTTCTCTCAAAAATAAATAAACGTTAAAAAAAAATACCAATACTAAGGCTTTACCCCTGGAGATTCTGATTGAGTTGGTCTTGCATTGGGCCTGGCTCTTGGTGTTTTCTTAAAGCTCTGCAGGTGATTCTAATGTATAGCAAGGTAGAGAACCATGTGACCTAGAGGATAAATTCCAAGCTCATTAGCTTGGCATTCGTTGCTCCCCACAATCAAGCCCTTAATCTGCCCCTCCAGCTTCATGTCCTACCAGTCCTCTCTTAACATGTTTGAAATTCTGGCTCTATGGAGCCACTTCTCTATCTTTGTATCCATGGTGCCCTCTGCCTACAATTCTCTCTCTCTCTGCTCCTCTGTTTGGAAAACTCCTACCCATTTTTCAAGACCCAGCACAAATGTGTTCTTTTCTCATGGAAATTTATATAGCATCTACTAGGAATCAGGCACATCCCTGGGCACTGGATGTGGTGCCTGGAACAGAACAGTCTCTTCTCTGGAAGAACTTACGGTAGGGTGAGGGATGGGGATGGAAACTGCTTGAGGCAAATGTTCTCAAACCTGAGTGTGTTAGGATACCCAGAGGGCTGGTTGAAACACAGATGCTGGGCCTACCCCTAGGGTTTCTTAGTAAGTGGCCTGGGATGGCCCTGAGAACTTGCGCTTTCAACAAGTTCTCAGCTGATCCCAATACTGCTGGTCCAGGTACCACAGTTTGAGAACCCGTGCCTTAGCGTTTGATCACAGGTGCACTCTCTGTGGAGGTATCATTGAAGCTGAGACCGAGAGGAAGAGAAGGAGGCAGTCACAAGAAGAGCAGGGGCTCACGCATTCCAGATGGAGGGAACAGCATGCATGAAGGCTCCAGGTGGGAGGGAACCTGGCACAACGGAAAAGGGGAGTGTGTGCCTGGGATGTGGAGAGCACAGGGGAGAGTGGTGCCTTCTCCAACTTCTCAAGTGGAACTGATGCTCTGTGTGTGTCTCTGTTATAGCACTTTCTCACCTTCCACTGTAATCCTTTCTTCTGCCTCAGCCACTTGAGAAGGAGCCCCTCCAAGGCACGTCTGTGTCACGGTCACCCACAGCCCATCTGAGACCTGATGCTGAGTAAATGCCAAGGGAATTGGGCTGGGTGGTTGAATTTTTTCGTGTTCTAGCTTTTTCTCTAGGTTACAAGCAAAGAAGCAATTTGTTCATTTTTTTTTCCTGTGGCAGCCTATCTTCCTTTTTCTTTAGGCATTTTCCACCGTAACCATCCTCTAAACCAAACTCCTTTCTCCCGGATTCGTGCTAGCTGGGCAGAGTTTTAGCCCATTTGGTGACAGCCAGAAAATTCCTTTTTCTGTCCTCACCTGTCCTTCCCAAGCTTAGGAGTTGCAGTGGGGTCTGGGGCGTGGGGGTGCTGCAGGTGCCCAAGGCTGTTGGAGCTGCACCCCCGGCACATCCCCTTGGCTGTGGGAGGATAATGTGGTCATAGAGTCAGCAGAATTCCCTTCCTCAAAATCACTGGTAGTGGGCAGCTGAGCATATCCGTGGCCAGCCCTCTGGGGTGGCCCACCTTGAGGGCCCAAGGGGAGAATGCAGGTCTGGGACTATCTTAGAGGCCAGCACCTTAACATGCAGATGGTCTTCTCCCCCACATCCTGCCTTTTCCAACATGTCCTTCCCACCCTGGGAAGTAGAATAAGGAAAGAATCAGGGCCAGAGGGCAAGAACACAGCACAACACCACATGTGGCAACATGAGATTATCGGTTTCTAATCACCCTTACTTCTTTCTTTTTGGAGAGTAGGGTATATATATGTGCACACACATATGTATATACATGTCTGTGCATATATACATATATGTGTATACATATACATGTGCACACATGTGTAAATATATGCATACATATATGTATATATGTGTATACATATATACAGATATATGTATACGTGTGTGTGTACACACACACACTCACACCCTTTACTGAGGCCAACAGAGGGGCCTTTGGGAAAGTGTACACAAGTGAGAGATATTCCCCCATTTCCTTTTTCAGAAACATCCTATTTCTCATATCCCATTTCAAACATATCTCTATGGTATGTAGATATCTGGTTCTCAGACTTTGGCTTGAATCAGAATCCCATAGAAGGTGTGTTAAAACCTGGATTGCCACCTCTAGAATTTCTGATTCAGCAGGTCTGGAATGGGGCTTGAGAACCTGCATTTCTAGCGAGATCTCTGGTGATGTTGCTGCTGGTCTGAGGACCACACTTTGAGAACCCCTGTTTTAGCAAAATGCCCGGCTGGAGTCTGCTAAGACTTATCAGTTGTTACAGGGCGGGGGGGGGGGGGGGGGGGGTTGTGGGATTTATTTGTCTTGTATGTACTTTACTCAAGCATCCCATTTGGGAAGATGGGTTGACATCCTCCCAAATACAGAAGCTGAAATCCTAACAAGCTCCCAGCTCCACTGGGAGACAAAGACATGTGTCTCCAAGAGACCAAGACACAGAAGCTGGCCTGGAAGAGGACAAAGGGGCTGGGGGAGTCAGGGAAGGGTCCACTTTTGTTTTTCCACTGCATAGTTTTAGCACTAATAGGAGCATTTCAAGCACAATTGGTTGAGTATTTCTTAGCCCCACGGAAGGCAGCTTCTGACCAGAAGGGAGTGATGCATGTAGCAGATTCCACATGCAGTGGGAGAGGAGAATGGGATAGGACTTAGAACCCAAAGACCTGGGTTTGGCCCCAGCACTGCTCTGGGACCTTGGGGGGGGATCGCTTTACTAGCTGTAAATGTGTTCCAATGAAACTGAACTTGAAAGGGCCTCGTGAAGTTCAAAAGAGCTATAGTGGATGACAATGCAGAACACTTGTGTGGGTGACAGTTCCAGTGAGGCCAACCTGAGCTGCCTTGGTTTCCACAGGAAGGACCAGTACCTCCTCTCACCCGTGAACTGTTGGTATCTGGTCCTGCATCAGACCAGGCGGGAGAGTCGAGATCATGCCACCCTCAATGACATCTTCATGAACAATGTCATCGTCCGCCTCTCACAGATCAGCGAGGATGTCATCAGACTCTTCAAAAAGGTGGGCAAGCAGGCCACTCTACCTGCTTGGATATCTCTGCCCCAGGCTGGCCATGGCAACACTGCCAGGGTGCCAGGGTGGGATATGGTTTGTGGAGATGGGACCAGGAGGAGGGGAGGTGTGTTGAAGGGTGCAAGGGGCCGAGGGCTGGACATGGTGTCCCAGACTCTGAGTCTGAATCCTAGATATGGGTGGCCTCAGCCATTTCCACAACCACCCCCACAAAAATTAAAATATCTGCATGGTTGGCAAATACTACATGTTCATTGTAGGAAATTTGGGGAAATGGACATGAGCACACACACACACACACACAAATTTAAAATCACTTGGAATGGTACCACTCTGCAGTAATCACTTTGGTGCCATAGGAATTTCTTTAAACATATAAATGCAAATACAGTTTTTGTAAGTTCTCATATCTATACATCTCCAGTATACATTTCCCAAAAGACATGAGACTGCATATATGACTTTACTGTCTTCTTATGTCACCTAACAAATTACATAACACTGTATGGCAAAATTTTCCCAAGTCAATAAGTATATTTCTGTACCACTTTTAAATTATTCCATAGAATTTCATAGATTACCCTCATTTATTTAACCAATCTTTTATTGTTGAACATTTAGCTTATTTCCATTATTTTACTCTTAGAAATAACACTACTCTGAGTGTCTTTGTATATATACTTACGTCACGGTCACTGCTATTATCTTATGGTCGGTTTCTGCAACAGGAATTTTTGGGTCAAAAGTTTGCTCATTTTTTTTTTTTTAATTTTTTTTCAACGTTTTTAATTTTATTTTTGGGACAGAGAGAGACAGAGCATGAACGGGGGAGGGGCAGAGAGAGAGGGAGACACAGAATCGGAAACAGGCTCCAGGCTCCGAGCCATCAGCCCAGACCCTGACGCGGGGCTCGAACTCACGGACCGCGAGATCGTGACCTGGCTGAAGTCGGACGCTTAACCGACTGTGCCACCCAGGCGCCCCAAAAGTTTGCTCATTTTTAAGACTTGTAGCAAAGTGCTCAGTTGTTTTCAGAAAGGTTTTACCCATATAAATGCCCAGAAGTCAGGTGTGCAGGGAACAGTCACTTGTATGAGCCCTGAGGCCTCTATATCCCAGGCCTCTCGCGCAGTGCCTGGCAGACAGTAGATGATGTGTGTAATGTTTGTAGAACTGAACCCACCTTTGTGAACTTCAGTGTCCTCTCTGTAAAATGGGCTGGTCCTTTGGCTTCAGCAAGCCTCATCTTCTGTGTCCTATCAAATGGTTTTAGGGTCAACTACTTCCTAGTAGTACACGTGAAGGACAGGGAGGCGTTGACCAGGGTGTGGTCTCTGGGTCCAGAGGTTTTAAATTTCTGGGTTCATAGGTTCACAATCCTGGTTCCATTATTTATCAGCTGTGTGTGTGTCTTTGGGTGTTATTACTTTAACTCTGTGCCTCAGTTTCTTCATTTGTGAGATGAGGATAAAAAGACACACAGGGCCTTGGGGACGATTAAGAGAGTGTTAACTCTTTAAAAAAAATAAAAAGGAAAAAACAAAAATGACTTTGGCATGGGTCATGATCTCATGGTTCATGAGTTCGAGCCCCGTGTTGGGCTTTGTGCTGAGAACGCTGAGCCTGCTTCGGATTCTCTGTCTCCCTCTCTCTGCCCCTTCCCCTCTCTCTCTCTTTCTCTCTCTCTCTCTCTCTCTCAAAAGTAAACATTAAAAAATTTCTTTAAAAAAGAGGGTGTTAGTCCGAAGAAAGACACGGTCAGTAAGTGTTCAGGAAAGCTGGCTACCATTCTACCAACGTGAGTGTTATTACCAAAATTATTGAGCTCATCTTACTAGGCGCCAATTTTAGGGATTAGGTGACCTGGGATTGCTAGAAGCACAAGGAGGAGAACAAGTTGATTTGAAATGTAATAATCTCTCTGTGGTCTGTATTTGGGTTGTCCACTTTGAGGACAACTTCTACAGCAAAACGGTAATCACAGGCTAATTCCCTCCCACCACACAATATGTGCCGGTCCCCTCTTGGGGCAGTGTTTATGAAACGTGGTCTAAGTTTAATATTTGTGTGAGCAAACATAATTAGGAAGGTAAATACAGTGCAATAAAAAAAAAAAAAATCACAGTGCTTTGCAAAACCAAACAGCTGATTCCGATCACTCGGTCTGGCCAGAAGCCCCCGCCTGCTGCCAGTGTCACATCTTTTTCCTGGGTGGGAGTGACTCACAGAGAAAGGGTCATCAGGGCCGTTAGGAAATGAAGGGTCTTTTTCCTGACTGAGCCCTGGGACAAGTGAGATAAATCTTTTCAGTTCTCATTTAGGCTGACAGCAGCCTCACTGGTGATGGAGGTTAACAGGGTAGAAAATAATGAAAAAATGTCGACAGCTGAGCTTCTGGCTGCCTTGTTACCAGGCCTGTGCCTGTGGAACAAAGGAAACGGCCTGGCCCCTGTGGGCCAGGAGAGAGCCGGAGAAGACTCTGGCTGGCTGATTTAGCACAGCGCGGTCCCTTTGTGTCACATCAGTTATAGATAATCTCGGCATGGAGGCTGCACTCCTTATGTACTAATAGATCCCACAGACCTCCAGCAACGGTGAGGCCGTCTCTGGTCAGACTGGGGAGTGGGATCGTCATTCACTCCATCTTACTAATGAGGGGGTAAAGCCTGAAAAACTGCCAGAGAACCCAGACTTGTCCACTTTGGGCCCATTTTCATCACCGGCAGGAAGCAGTATGGCTGGGCTTTTGAAGTTTGTCTCAGAACTGCCCCTCACTGACTTGTGAACCCGGGCCAATCTCTGAGCCTCAGTTTTCTCACCTAGGAGATGGAGATGGTGACAGTGCCCACTCTAGGGGGCTGCTCTGAAGAGCAGAGGTCGGCCAAGTGCCCAACACAGGCCTGGCATCCAGCAGGTGCTCATTAAATGGTGGCTTTCTAGTGACCCTGAAGACTGGAGCCTCCTCCCTATTCCTGAGCTGGGTCCTAACACTCGAGGGGATGTTCCTTCCCCACCCACCAAGCCATGAGCTGCTCATGCATCTGCAGGAAGGGAGAAGCTTCCAGGCCAGCTGTCCTTCCTGGGTTTGGGTCTGGGGCAGCTGCTCTGCCTACCAGGTTCTCGCTGACTCAGGGTGCTCTTTGACTTAATAACTTACCTTCTCATGATTCTCCATTTCCCCTTGCAGTGCAGTCTGTTTGTATGACTAGAAGCAGCACTTCCCATTCTACAAGCCATCCTAGGATTCCTGCGGGCAAGTGGACATATGCACACAGGTGGCCCTTGCTTTAAGTATGAGATAAGGATCCGGTGTAGGCAAAGGAACTGGCTGAGACCTTAGAGGCCATCATGTTGGTCAGAGCTTTTATGGTTGTGAACAACAGAAACCCGACTCAACTGACTTGAAGGAGGAAAGGGACTTACCAGCTCTCCAGAGCAAGGCTGGCTTTAGGCATGGGGGCTTCAAGGGCACAGAAGAACTCCCATCTCTCTGCAGCTCTGCTCCAGTTTTCTCTGTTTCCTCAATTTTTTGGGGGGTGGGGTGAAGGACTCTTTTACAGGAAGTCTCTCTCCATGTGATAACCACATGCCCCCCCCTCCAGGCTTACATCCCCCCTGCATCAAGCCCCATGGAAAGTGAGAGCTCCTTTCTCCCAGAATTGAGTCTTATAGGCTCTGATTGCTCAACATGGGTCACACCAGCGCTCCTGAAGCTGCACCTGTGGCCAGCGAGAGGCAGTGCTCTGACTGACCAGGCTCAGGAAACATCCCCACCCCTGAAGCCACGTACACACTCAACTCCACCTAACCCATGAACAGAGAATGGGTGGTTCCCCTGAAAAACTGGAGTCCTCTTATAAGAAGGGAGAAATAAAACAACAGATGTCCACTAGGCCTCTTTTCTAGTCCCTTTATCATTCTCTGCAGGAGCTGGCCCTCCCTCTGCTAGATGTCCCTAAGAAATGGTATTCATTACCTCTCAGGATAGCTCATTCCATTTGGGGACAACCACGATCAATAGAAAGTTCTCCCCAATGTTGAAATAAAATCTCAGTGTTTACACTCAAGATCCTGGTCACGTCCTGAGGGCCACATAGACCAATCCACGTGGAGACTTGTCAGTTGCTCGAAGATAGAAATCATGACCACCAGCCAGATCTTTCCCACCTCTGAGTAAACACCCCAGGTCCCTTCAGTTCACCCTGTGATTTGGCTTCATGCTTCCCCCCCACCTAAGTCATGCCCCAGGCTTCTCTGACCTGCACAAGTTAACATTCAGATCTATTCAGAATACTCCAGGAAGGTTTGAAGGGCTAAGAGTAGAACAGAGCTGTCTAGACACATTCTTTCTAATAATGAAACTTATGCAGGCTTTTGCCTTTTTGACCTCAGTCTCTTCACATGGTTGGCTCCCTCTGAGCTCCCTGCTTGAATCCCTGGTATTTTTATGCCAGCTGTTTTTTTAAAATCTATCTTTTGAATTCTGTACTTGCGTTTCTTTATATTTGGTCTTTTCAAACTTCATCTTATTAGATTCTGCTCAGGGCATCTGCATGGCTCAGTTGAACATCTATCTGACTTTTGATTTTGGCTCAGGTTATGATTCCAGGGTCATGGGATTGAGCCCTATGTCAGGCTTTGTGCTGAACATGGAGCCTGCTTGGGATTCTCTCTCTTTCTCCGCCCCTCCCTGCCCCTCTCTCTCTCTAAAATAAATAAAAAGTTAGATTCTGGTCTAATGGGATAATTGTTTTCTTTAAGTGATTTTTCAAGCAGCAATAGGGTAACTCTTCTGAGAGGTCCTTATTCCTCCTCTGTGGGGAAACACTTTTATAACTTCTCTATGTCTCCCTCTGTGTTCCCTTCTTCGGTGTGTCAATTCTTTAACCTCATGTTTGATTCTTCTTTACCTTCTTAGTGGAGAGGTGGAAAGTGGGTCAGATGCTTGAGGATGAGTTCACAGTGGGTGACCTTTGAGTTGGGTATTG